ATTGTGTTATTCGTATCTAAATTAAATTTGATCGACAATCAAAAGATTTGTATTTAACTGTATACAGAAAATAACTATTTGGCGAGTATTATAGGCAAAAAATAGATATTTTATAATTTTTTAAAAAATTTTAAAAAATATTTTTTATTAACTCGAATACGACACAACAATGTTATGATACGATATAATTAAGAGTTATTTAACGAGTATTAATAGATGAAGTTTTTTTGGATTATAAATATAAAATATTTAAATTTTGAAGTTACAATTTATAATTAGCCCAAACCTTTTTAAAGACAAAATGGAAGGAGATAGCCTCAAGTGCACATTGATACGAATTTATGTTTTTAACGGTGTAAATTTATATTTTTAAATTTTGAAGGTACAAATTAAAATTTAAATGATCTTTCAAAATATAAGTTGAGATTAACCCTAATTTTATATTAAATTCATAGGTCATGTCTAAAATTAGTCGGTCTAACTCTATTATTGTTAATTTTCGTAACTATGCCTTTATTATAGGGTCAAATTTGAATCATATTAACCTAATTGTGTCGTCGTGTTTTTTCCTGGTTGAACTACAGGGGTTAAAACTAGGGATGTCGAACGTGTTGCGTTAAATGATTACATGTTGAGTTAAACAGGTGAAAAATCTCAACACGAACACAACCCGTTTAATACGATACAACTCTTTTAACCAGTTCAATTTTTAAAAAAAATATATCAACAAATTGCAATACACCACTTTTTTTACTACCAATTATATTTACCTCAAAAAAGAAAAATTTTTAGTCAAATTTCACATAAAAATCAAATTTGAAGACTTAAAAAAAAAGGCAATAGCCAACTGCCTTTTACAGGCAAGACAACCCTCTTCATCTCCCATCATTTGTTGATGTGCGACAAAAATAAAAGAGGTTAGTTTGCCTTTGTTATGAACTGGTTACATTTCTCATTTTTTGTCTTTGAATTACTACTTTATTTATTTTTTATTGATTTTTTACTTTTTTTTCTCGCTAATTTTTTAAAATAATTATTAATTTATTATTATATTAATTTTATTTAAACGGATAAATGTGTAATAAATAATTTGACAGATCTTACTCGAACACGATCCATTTATTAAATATGTTTAATGAGTTAATCCATTTATCATTCAAATTCGTTAAAATATCATCGAAATCCGCTTATATTATCAAAATTTGACAAGTTAAAACTCAAAAACAACCGAGGCTAAGGACTTTTCGGTTTGTCATGCTTGATCTTTGATGGGACGTTGGCATGATAGAAATTTGGTGCGTTTCATGAGGGTAAAAGTGGCTACGTGAATATTTTAAAACGGCTACTTTTTATGCTTTAATGCTCAGGATTTTGACGAATCCGCTTTTTGAAATTTCGAAAAACGGGATGGAAATGCCCACATCTTTGTTGTTTTTCACATGACCAGCCACTAGCTGTTGCCTGGTTCTTTTGACCAAAACATCCTTCTCTGGGTCTTCCCTCTTTTCTATTAAAAAAAAAGAGGGCCCAGGGGGGGAGAAGAGACGGGGCCCCGGGGGGGGGGGGGGGGGGGGGGTGTTCTTCCCTCTTTTTGGCAAGTTTATTGGGAAAAAAAATGACCTCTGACGTAATTGGAGATTAATCAAGAGTCAAATGAAGGCACAGGCTGACAAATACAACAAAATTAAAAGGGGGTTGAAGAAGTCACATCAAGAAGAACAACACACTGTTCAAGTTCAATTTTAATAACCTATGAATACAAAATTGAGTTAGATTTGAGAAAATAAATAAATTTAAACTTGTAATTTATTCTATGAGACGAACACAAGTGAATCTCTAACTAAATCAACCAAAAATTGTGTACCATTAAATCTACTATTGCAGTAACTCCACTTTGAGCCAAGCTTAATAATCAATCAGCTCAAAAATGTGGATCAATTTTGGTTTGTTTATCTCTCAATAAAACACTTATTCTGTCATCTCTTACTCAAAAAATAAAAAATTTGGTGTATAAATTCAATAAATATTGTTAAAGAACTTTTGATAATATTATATCACTGACACTAAACCCGAGCCGAAATGTACTATACAACACAAAAAATCGATTATTTATCATACAATATTTATATTCTAAATTCCAATTTTTTTCTCTCCTTTTATTTAATTATACAATTTAAAATTTAAGCGAGTAAATAGAAAATAAGAGGAGGGGTAGGGGAGAGAGAAGAGAGAAGAGAGATTGGTGGGAACAAGTGGGGTTGTCTAACCTTGGGAGGTGTGCAAAAAAGATATTATTTAGAGTGGGGAAAAATATCTTGGGATAAATTATGTATAATTGGATCAAAATAGATGATAAATAAATCAATTTTGATCGTTATTGTACTTTTATAAATTAAGAATTTAACTTCCTAATTGTAATATTAGATAGACTGATAATAATCTCGTACTTGAAAATACTCTACAATACTAAAAAAATGAACATTGATTAGATAGTTTTATATTTTAAAAAGTTTTTTTTCTTTTTTCTTTTTTGTTTAGTTACCAAATTTAAGGTTCAAGTGAAGATATAGAAAATAAAAGAGATAGTTGTGAATTTATGACGGGGTCTAACGTTAGGGGCCATGCATAAATACCTATATATTTTTAAGTGAAAAATAATCGAGATAAATTTTATATCACTGGACCAAAGTAGCATAAAATTGGATCAATCTTAACAATTGTTTTACTAGTCATAATCCATACTTGAAAAGCACGATGAAACATAAAATTCAAGTGTCCAAAATATCGATTCCACTATATTAAATTTTTTCAACATGCGTATACTATCGTATATGAATAATATTTGAATTAAAAATTATGTTAAACTACAAATTAATTAAATATTAAATGATTGAACATGTGATAAAAATAAGTGATGTGACGTTTTTAGGGAAAAAAATATGTTGAAAAATAAAAATTCAAATTACTATGTGATTTATTATATATATATACATAATACATTTCAACTTAAAGTACTTATTTATAACACTTTTTTTAAAGTTATTTTCTTACTAATATTTAATTCTTAATGTACTTATTGACAATTTCAATTTTTATAAATAGGGCTAACATTGGTCCACCAGTTATAACCCGTGCTTAAAGGTACAGTGAAATATAAAATTCGAGCGCCTAAAAAATCGATCTCACTATATTAAATTTTTTTAACATGTATATATTATTATATATGTATAATGTTTGAATTAAAAATTATGTTAAACTATAAATTAATCAAATATTAAATGATTGAATATGTGATAGAAATGAATAATGTGATTTTTTAGGGAGAAAAATATATAGGGAAATAAAAATTCAAGTTACTATAAGTTTATTATATAGATTTTTATAAGTTAAAGATTCAATTTTTTTTACTATAATATTAGATAGGTATATTAAATTCCCAATTCAAAATAACACGAATAAATTTAGTACATTTGTAACATTTTTTGAAAGTATTTTTTGACGAAATACTGGTTGACGCAAATGGTGTGATTTATTTATATATAAAGATTGTTTTTATGTTTTCATAATTTTTTTTGTGTTTTCAAAACGTTTTCATTTTTGAGCTGATCGAAACGATACTTTGAAATGATAGTTCGATTTTTAAAGGCAGGTACAACATAACATTCGGGTGCTAAAAAAACGATCCCACTATAAAAAGTAATAATTTTTTTCCTTCTATTTCGTTAAATTACATCATTTGAAATTACTTTTTACTCATTATTTTTTTATTTTTGTTTTCAAAATACACAAACTCAAAAAATATTAATGTGTATATTATTGTACATGAAATAAAAATGATATTGAGCTATAAATTAATAAAAAAATAAATTATTCAACTTGGGATAAAAATGAGTGATGTGATAGAAATAGACAAAAAAAAATATATGTGAGGATAAAATTTAAAGTCGTAACTATTTTATTATTAAATAGATATCTTTAACAATTTTTTTTTTTATCTTAAAAATACTTTGAAAAATTCACAAAACAGTGCCCCTACTTTTTTGTCCCGTTGGATTCCGATTCAAAGAGTGAGCTGCAATCAAATTGGCATCAGAGAGCATGGGTTATTTTCGTAATTTTATTATAGCTGCTTGTAGCAAAAGTGGGTTCAATTGTTCAGTGGCATTCTCGTAATACTTCGAAAAATGAGGTCCCTTAATAACAAAACTCATGCCCCACAGCATCCCATTCACCGCTTGGAAAAAATATGCATTAAAACAGTAATATTATGTGATAGTGTTAATATCGAATCGCCAATAATATTAAAATAAATAAATAAATAAATATAATAAAAATTAATAACTAATTTTATATGTTAGTAAATAATTATCCATACTTCCTTCATGTAAATAAAAAATTGTTTAATAAAATTTATTTTGATCACTAAATATTTTATTATTGATTAGCTTGTATTACCGTCGCATTCAATAATTACTCTTACGAGTAAAATCCAAATTTTAATTTACTTTCAGTTGGCTCCACGTTCTTTCTCTCTCCTGCCTCTTTGCTTCCTTCCATGCTAAGTAGCTTAAAGTTGCAGTACTCCCCCAACCATCCCCACTCCTCTTTCTGTCTCCACTCCATCTGTTTTCTCCTTTTCTCTCTCCTAGGGTTTGTCCATTCACTGAACCCATACTCACAGATGATCTTTGTATATGCTCACTCTCTCTTTACTTCACATTTGCACCGCCAGTCTACTCATGCTGATTTGTTCTTATTTGCAGGTGTTAGATTTGTAGGCTCAGCTTTATCCATTAATTGGTACTCGTTTCTTCTCACTAGTCTCTCATTTTTCTCTCTTTACTGGTTTTTTCCTTCTACATTTGTGCGTAATATACATATAGTATCTGGTTTTGCTTGTTAAAGTTTTTTTTCTTCAAATTTTTGCTATTGGAAATTTTTATGAGTTTCGGAGAATGTAGTTAGGATTTGAGTGGATTTTTTCTGATTTTAGTTTCCAGGTAAAGGAGGGGGGTTTCCAGTGGAGTTGCTAATTGGGGAGGTGCTTGTGGAAATGTCGTCGAGAGGGGGCTCCGATCAGCCGCCGCAGCGGAGGATAATGCGGACCCAAACGGCGGGGAATCTGGGAGAATCAATATTCGACAGTGAGGTCGTGCCGTCTTCTTTGGTTGAGATTGCACCGATTCTTCGTGTTGCCAATGAAGTGGAAAAGAGCAACCCAAGAGTTGCTTATCTCTGTAAGTCTTTCTTTCTGTCGTCCTGCTTCAATACGTTTTTGTATATTCTATTGTTGAGTAGCAACTGGAGGAGGGGCCCTCAGATTATATAGTTGTATTGTATAAGAAAGCTGAGATTTTGGTGTTGAATGCGAGTGCTAAAGTAGGCACTCTCTGACATTGATCGTGACGCTGTTAGTAGTAATTGGATTATTGTGCTTTACTAGCAAAACAGAGTACCTTTCATGTGTTTTTTTGAATGAAAAACTTGGTGCGTTTTTGCTTTGAACTGAAACTAGTGTGCTTCCAAAATGTGAAGAAACTTGACATAATCCATGTTTGCGTGGGAGTTTTTGGCAACTTTATGGGCTGTGGTTACCAAGAACTTTCGACTTTCGTGACACTTCTCTCTTACATCTCCAACACCATTGGAAAGCCCTTTGTAGTTCATAGTGTTTATATTATTTGCTTTAATTTTTACTCTTTCTAGTGGACTTGTCCACTAATGGTGATGCAGTTATACCTCCCAACGAAATGTAAGTGTTGATTCTTGCCAAAAAGAAAAAAATCATTTTTCCTTGGGCAAATTGTGTGTGAGAGCTCATTTGTGCAATGTTTCTTTGAATTAGTAGTTAAGAGGATGCTTTAAGGAGTAATTTCAACTTAATGGTCACAGCTCATGTGGGGATGATTGGTGGTTGCGGTGAAGTGGCAATGACTAATATTTCTTCTCAAAATTAGAAAAAAAAAAACTAAAAACCTCATTATGTTAGCATGTTTTCAGTTTCAAACTCTTTCGAGTTATAATTGATTATCAGAAAGATAAGATGTTTTATGATTGTTATTGGATTTTTTGCCTAACGATAATTGTTGAAAAATAGTTATAAGTTATAACAATGTCATTTTTGTTAGTGGTGAAGCAGTTGAATGGTGCTGGTTCATGTATTATTTCTCAACATCGAAAAGAATAAACAACTTCTAAAATCTTGTTTTTAAGGCTAAAGTATATGCTTGCTGCGTAAATAAATTATTGAAGAGAAGAAAACTAGGTAACTTGGTTCTTCTAAGTGTAAGACCAGGAATACATTGAAAATAGGGCTGTTAGTCGAACGAGCTTAAGTTGAGTTCGAGCCGAGCTTGAAAAGCTTGTTTCTTAATCGAGTTTTAAAAATTGTTTAAGTTTGGCTCGTTTAGGAAACGAGCCGAGCCTGAATGAGTTGAGCTCGAGTCAAGTCCGAGTATTTGCACATAAATGAGCCGAGCTTGTCAAGTTTGAGCCGAGCTTATAGGACTTGTTTTCTAAATGAGCCTAAAAATTTGTTCAAGTTCAGGTTCGTTTAGAAAACGAACCGAACCTGACCCAAACTCAAGCCAAGCTCGAGTAGCTTAGTTTGATTAACAACCCTAACTGAAAATGTAGAATCAATACAAAATTCATTTTTGTGCTGTTCCATTTTCACAAGTGACCGGAGTAAAAATTGATTATCTTTTCATTTTAGAGTTTTTCTCTCTTTTCTTTATAGAAAGTTATACTTAAGTCAATAAGGTATTTGATTATTTCCTTTTTTTTTTTTTTTTTTTTTTATAGGTTCTGCCTTGCCTAGTACTGGTTTTGTACCCAAATAATACCCTTTTAATATGTGTCTTCCAGGATATCATTTAGGACTATGAGATATATTGCATTACGACTCAGAGAGCCTGGTTTTTGCCATACCTCACTCTTTTTTGATGTCCTTGTGTCATCTTTGTGAGTCTGTGACTCTCTTAAAAGGACTTTTGGATGGCATGCATGTGGCAACCCTACGACCACGTGTATGCTATATTGATATTGTACAGTTAAATTTGAATTTGAATGACTTGGACTAAGGCCAATGACTTCGCAAATCTAACATAGGAGTAAATTTTTGCAATCTCAACAAGAATTGACATGAATATCTTGACTTTTGTGACTTAAATTTGGGTCATGAGTTGAAGAGAAAAAATAAATACACTACTTGAATATGAAATTCCACTATTCAAATGAACTTGATATACAAAACTATACATAGATAGCTAAGGAGATTACTTCATGTGAAATTTTAGAGTGAGTTATTTTCTCCCTTTAATTGTTTTGGATTTGAGATCCAATCAAATATCTTGTGGCATTTAAACATTTTTCGTGATATTGTAGATTCCAAAAATTAGTTTTTGTATCGTTTTAGCCTTGTTAATCCCATCTTCCTTTGATTGTAGCCATTGGACTCTTATTCGGGTTGCAAGAAGATATGACATGGTGTCTTTATCACTATAGCCACCCCTCTAGGGCGCTCAATGCTGGTCATAATTCGAGGCTCATGTTCTTTGTACCTTGGCTTCAAGCTAGGCATGGCCATGAAGCCAATATACTCTATACATAAGGTGTGAAATTAGGCACTGGAAATGATTATGAACCACCCTTGTGCAAAGGGCCTCCAAGATTGCATAATTACCAAAATATTGAATCCTAGATCCCAAGCACCTCCAAACATACCCCTTTTGATACAATGATGGGTTTTTGTGTTGGAGTAGGGTTTCTTAAGCTTGTTGCACAACCACAAGGTGGCCATGCCTCATTCAGTCTTAGCAAATGATTATCCATTCTATGTTTTTTGAGTTTTCAGACTAGTGGCCAAGGTTGACTAGCCCAGTTTGATTTTAGTTGGGAGCTTCATCTTGGCTAGTTTGACAGAGGGAAAGTTACCATGAGTCCTTTGGTCATGTCTTTGATTTGTTCCATGCATCACCGGTGCTCTCTTTGTTGAGTTGGCTAGTTGGCCTCTTGGCTATGTTCGTTTTTGTTGCCTATTTTGATTAGACTTAGTTGTTGGTTTACTACATGTCAATTCCTACATATCTAATTTTTATAAGGATTAACCTACCTTTTTCGTTAAGGAAACAAGAGGAGAAGGAGTTGGATTGATAGGTTAGCATTTATTAGGGGTTGGAAGCCACACCCTTGATACCAAATTGCCACCTCGCTCTTTCTTGCCCTAAGATTGCCTTGACTCTGATTTTAGATTGATCTTGATATTTGGACCACAATTTGTATTATTTCTCCAATAAGTCCCTTGCCTCATACCTATTGTATATTAGATAGATCAAGCATTGAGTTAATAAATAGAGTTAACGGATTATGTTAGATACAGAAGAGTTAGAATATGAAAATTTAGGATTAGGGTTTCGAGAAGGAAGAGAGAAAAGAACACCTGACAAAGGAACAAAAAAAAAAAAACAAAAGAGAAGTGGAGAAGAAGAGACAAACGACTATGGAGAGAAGTGTATTAGATTACACAACTGCACCCCAACTTATATAAGCACAAAGTACAAGAATACCTAACAATAATTAACATTCTCCATCAAGTTGGTGCATAAAAATCTCTCATGCCTAACTTTCAAACAATAAGATGAAAAATCTTGCTACTAAATCCCTTTGGTGAAAACATCAGCCAATTGGTTCTCTGATTTCATAGAAGGCATGCAAATATACCCTTATTCAACTATTGTAGGCTCAGGTTAGCTCCTAAAAAGTATTTTGTTCACGTCCAACTACTGCAAACTCTAACCCAAATTATGTACTTTACCATCATGTACTTTACCATTGCCAATAGTTTTTCTCAACTCCAGATTCTTAAAAATACAATGAGTAGGGTAAAAAGTTGCTGAACAATTTTGGAAATTTGTAATAATGCTAACACAGTAAATTAGTAGAATAATTGGGGACATGGAGAACGGATGAAAAACAAAATTAATTGATCATTTTCCTGAAATAGAGGATACAAATCTATCTGCCACTCTTACCTTATCCGTACCTGAGCATGTGGAATATGAAGAGAAAAGCCTAGAGGAACTTGTTATGTGGTCTATGGCTTCAGAGTCTATTATTCAAGGAGTGTATGAGGATGAAACACTAAATGCACTAGCAGATATACTTGTTTGAGCAAAGTTTGAAAAAGAAAAAAGTATGATTAGAATTTAGACACTATAGTAGAAGAAGCATGATTAGAGAAAACATCACTAAGCTATTAGACGTCTAAGAGCTTGCATCTCATCTTGAGAAAACGAAGTGGAAGTACTGCCACCAGACGAAGATGGATGCTCCGAAGATTTAGTCATGTGTGCATTGGATCGCATAGTTACACCTCGGCCACGTGTGGGTCATCCAGCTTCTAGAAAAATTTTCTAGTATGCCTATTTTTTCCACAATAATTATACTTTAAGGTATCCTTGTCATCAATGCCACTCCTATAGGTAGAAGTTACACTTGCATTGGGCATGTACAAAGTTCAAACAGTTAGATTATTGCAAAACTTAAGTACTAGCAAGGAATAAATTCGATAATAAATAAACAATCACAATAAAATATAACAAGAAAGCCATAAACATCAATATATCATAATTGTTGCACAAATACAATAACAACTGTTTTAGGTCTAAACTATATCAAGCACACAAATTAAGTAAGCTGCACAAAAAACAAGTAGATGTTTTAGCAACTCAAACATCCACAACAATAAAAATGTTATAAATTATACTACACAAATATTCTTATAATTACTGAAAAAATATGAAAGGCTGTTATACAGAGAGTTAGAGACGATAGGACCGGGATTCTTGTGGCTTCGAAGAAGAGACGACGAGAGAGGCGAGAGTCTTTGAGACTCGAAGCAGAGATAGCTTCATTGGCTTGTGGCTTTACTCAAAGAAGCAAATCGCGAGAGAAATAGAGAGTCAAGAGTCTCTAACTCTGAGAAAGAGGAGGAGGCGTAGGGATTTTAGGAATACGGAATTTGTATGGGTATGCCATATTCGTACCTGATTTTTACGGAATACCAAAACTTTTTCAGTTGGCCTACCTGATTTTTTGCGGTAACCGACCACTGAACCATAAATTCCAAAAATAGGAAAGTCCTCTCAAATGACTTCAGAAAAATCTGAAAAAATAACAATAATTCCTAGCAACAGGAGATGATTCAATCCATGCCTGCTTTGACCAGATCTGACAAGGTCAGTGCTGATGTCAGCAAGCTGCTGGTTTTTTTTGCCCGGTTATTGATGCATTTTTAGATTTTTAGAATTTTAAATCAATGCACTATACTAAGTTAGAATATGAAGTTTTAGGATTAAGGTTGGGAGAAGGAAGAGAGAAGAAGAGACAAACAACAATGGAGAGTAATGTATTAGGTTACACAAGTATATCCCAACTTATATATATATTTTATATATATTAGCACAAAGTACAAGAATACCCTCAAGCTAAAGATAAAACATAACTAACAATAACTACCAGTAAACATGGTATGCTGGTGAGATGCTAACTATCTCGAATTCCTCGAATAAATTATAATTGGTTTGGCTAGTTTTGTTACTTGTAGACTAAGGAGGCTATTGCTACATATTGTGATAAAAAGATTTAAATGAGGAAGGTCATAGGAATTTATTGAATTCCTCTACTCCTTTATATTGCGTGTCTAAAATACTTTAACTTTATGTGCCGTGTATTGAGTGCTTGAAATGTTTAGTTTTAAAGGAATAACTACAATGAAACCCTTCATATTTCTAAAAATTTCAAGGGGGTACCATTTTAGGTTTTGATATTGCACCGACAACACTTGACATTTTCCTAATGGTCAACAAACAGTAATTGCATTAGGTTTTGATCATTTTCTCAAAAAAATTAGCCCAAAAAACCAAAGCTTGCATTAAGACACCCCTGATAGAGATTTAAGTCGCACCCAAACCAGTTGTTAAATAATATTCTCTTTCTTCCTACTTTTCTCCTTTTAGCTGACACCTCCACCGCATCACCTACTACACCACCACCACAACACCATGCAACACACACACATCTCTCTCTCTCTCTCGTCTTTTAGTGAAACCCTAAGAAAAAAAAAAGCATAACCCATCTCTTCTTCCGGCTAGCACCTCCATCATCTTCACTTCCATCCAATACCTTTTTTTTCTCCCTCCTCCTCATCCTCATGTGAGTCAATCCCAATATTAATGTGATTTATAATTTTATTCCATATTTATTGTATTTTCTATTTTTTTCCATTTACCGTTGTATACTTGAAAATGTAGTTTAAAATCACCCTTCCACATAAATGACCTCAAACAATGAATTAAGTTAAAAATTATGCTATATGGAAAATGAAGTTGGAAAATCATGTAGAATGGTAAAAATTCCTTCTCTTATTTTATTCTCCCTAGCCTTTGCATTGGCTAAGAAGGTTGAGGAGACGTCTCTATCTCTCATTCTCTTTTATAACTATGACATATCATAATCTTTGTCTCTCTGTCAGACACACAAAAATGGCACACACAAACACGCATAGAGATGCACACACAAACGCGTGCGTACACACAAACGCGCATAGAGATGCATACACAAGCGCGTGCGCACACACACACACGCATCCACATATTGACCCATATAGACACGAACACTATCTCTATTTGTCTTTATTTATTTATTTATTTATAATTTGCTGTTGACTTTGTTTTGGATTTTGTCTGCTGATTTTGATTTGTGCCTTGATTTGTGTTTAGTTTGCGCAGAGTTGGTGTGATAGTGATTTGTGAAATGTGGTGGTGGTGGGTGTGGGGTGGCCGTGAACGAACTGTTGTGGTAGTTGTGGGTGTGTTTTTGTTGTTAGTGGTGGTGGTTCATGTAGCGGTGTTTGGGGTTTTCTCTTATTGGGAGACAAATGGTTCATGGGGTCAGGCTTGGGTCAGAATTTTGTGTTTGCCCTTTATAAAAGGGAAATGAGCATTTTTTGGGAAAGATGGTGATAACATAATCTGTTGGTCTTGGTCTTCCAAATTGATTAATTGAAGATACACTGTGAAACTCTTACCCGAACCAAAAGCAAGTGCAATGTATGTCAGAAACCACGAGTGTCCATTGAATTTGATACATTCCACTTGGGTGTCATTGTAACACTTCATTTTTAAAAACAATTCCACAAATCTGAAAGTTAAGTAGAAGCGCTATGATTTCTATAGATAAGACAAAGGTGTTAATCAAAGTTGCATAATTTGTTATTCCATCTAAGTTATGTGTCAGCTGAAGGAACATTTATGGGAGAGTAATTGAGTGAAAATTAAGACACAAGATGATAGTATAGATCTATTGATGCTATTTTCTCTGAAGTTCCATCATAGAAGCCATATACCTACTAATTAGCTGATAGAAAAATGTGGTTAAAAGAAGAAAAACCAGCATATTGCATCCATTTATTTTGAACAAGAGTCGGTGGGATAACCATAAAGATAAAATGTAATATTGACACAAAAATGTGGGAGAACATTTGGAGGAACAAGCAAGTTCTTTATATCATTAGGCTTATATCAAGGTTATGCATTGATTTTTTTTTTTGGAACTTGGTTTGAATGATTTCACCTGACATATTCAAGATGAAGGCAGGGTGCATTTTGTTTGTGATGTTGTAGTTTTGACAAATGAAAGCATTACTGGTGTTAACAAGTTAAAATTTAAAGGTTGTAGGAAAAGTAGAATCAAATAGTACTTATGAAGTACAATTTTAGCATAGTTTAGACGTAAGAGGATTATTCTCTGACACTTGATGACAAGGAGATTTCTAAAAGCGACCATTCTGGATATCTTGGTTGATCAATCCTACTAAAGGGAAGATTAAGGGGGATGTTGGCGAAAAAATTTAAACTGATAAGTCCTTCTCGAGTATTCTATGATAGTGGAGGCCTCCCAAGTTGAAGGGAAGGTTCTATACTATATATATGAAAGACTGGCAATGCGTAATGGTGTGGATTGTTGGATACTTGCTACTTAAGTAGTGCTTCTTCAAGACATAGGTGTAGTCGAAATATGGAACTTGATATGGACATATATAGCATTCAAAAAATAATGGAATTTGTATGTTGGCATTAATGGGAAAATAAAAATGGGAAGAGTAAATGATGATGTCACGACAGAAGTTGTCTAATATGGTTAAGCCATGATAACTGATTGCTCCTCCAAATCAATACACATTCTATTAACCATCTTAGATAACTTCCCCCCCTTTCTTACATTGTTTATTTGTTACAATTTTTTGCTCATAGGATGAAATCCTTTTCAGTATGCCTTCTTGTGGTGTAGTTTGAAATTTCATAAGTGGTGGTTTTGGATGTAGGTCGGTTTTATGCTTTTGAGAAAGCTCACCGGTTGGATCCCACTTCAAGTGGACGTGGTGTTCGCCAGTTTAAAACTGCACTTCTTCAACGACTTGAAAGGGTAGATACTTCTAGATTTTTTATCTTTTATCTTGGGTGACTTGTTAGTGCATCATCAACTTCAGTCCTGCTTTTCCATACAAAATATGTTAGTATAATGCATGAGAATTTTATTGCTATTATTATGCATGAATGAATTTGATATCTTCAGTTATTGGCTTGAATTGGAAACCCTTAATTGCCTAAAGAGAAAAAGCATTCTCAGTGGGACATTCTGTGAGTGGAGTGTATCTGTTGATTTATGGTCACTTTTTTTAACCTATGTTGGCTGACTACTTATAACAAAAAAAAGGCCTGAATCTCCTTCTAATTAGACGCAAAATTCAATTAACTTTTTTACTATGTCTATTACTCAGTTTTTGGCAAACTCTGTTGGTTGCCTTCCCTCCTCTCCTTTTATTGAAGACAATATCTCTCCATTTTAGGTTGCAACATTGTCTTGGCTAGTTTACCCTTTTGTTTTCATCAACTTTTTCAGGTTTTGTGCATCTTCCACATAAATGAAACAAGGAAAAGGCAAATCATGAATTGGTATTACTGAAATAAAATCTGATCAACCACCAAAAAATGTTTCATCTTTATTTTGCTTTTCTGGATTGATAGCTGTTTTGCATGATGTGGTTAAACATACTCCAAAAGAAGTTTCATTATTTTAGTTTTTGGAGTGGAAGTTTTACTGTTTTTTGTTAATTTACCGGCCTAATTGTCCTTGGTATTGCTTCTTATACTATCCCTTTTCAGTTATGAAAATTTTGTTCAAGAATAACAACCCATGATAGTTTTTCTAATGCATGTCTCACAATAGATACATGACAGTTGTTCAACTTCAGTTTCTCCTGATAAAAAGTAAAGAATGAAAGAGTAATGAAACAAAAAAAGAATTGGTGCCCCATGGGCACCGGAAGTTATTGTGGTTCCAATACCGGACTTTTATACCTAATCCTTATTGTTTTGGGACATGTGCATGACATGACATCACTGGCATGGCAAATTCTGAAGAAGTGGAATATGAACACGAAAAGTTCAAGGCAATGAGTAGATGGATATTCCGTATGAGTTACATATCTAAGATTGCTGAACTTTGATTAATGTTCATAGAATTTTCTGAATCAACAACTTCAGGTGGAAGATGAGGCTTCACAAATACAAAATACATAATTATTATGTCTATGTATGACTAGAAATTTAAATTTTGGTACCAAAGGGAAGGGGGTGGTTCTCCCTTCTAAGATGCTGCCATTTGGCAGCATTTTAGAAGGGAGAACTGGCCCTTTTGGCAGCATTTTAGAATGGAGAAACAGCCCTACATGTGTATGCTTATGCTGAAGAGAGCAATAATTGTTTGCAAATGGAAAATTATGTGATGGAGTGATCATGCACATGGTCCATGTTTTCCTCCTAAACTACTGTCATACCCATTGTCGATATTTTAATACTGTCCATGCATGTTTGACTTGTGGAAGCCATGCATATATCCCAAGGTCATGTGTTGGAAACTGTCCCAGACCAGTTTGCCACGTGTCCGAAATTATGAATGCAAGTTCAAATTTTTGATACTGTCCCATAGAATCCAAAATATTCTGAACTCTCCTGTAGTTGCGTGCTGCTTAGACAAACCGGTCAGACCTGGAATACATTCTCTGGGTTGTAAGTATAATATACGTACTGGCACCCTACTTAAGTTTGACACTCTTCATGTCATGTTTTGAGCCACATTCGTTGATGTGGATCCCCTTTTATTTGTGTTCTTGTATCTTTTGGGTTTTCCTCGATTTTTTGAAAAGGTTATTTCTTAAAATTTTCAGGAGAATGACCCAACGTTGATGGGAAGAGTCAAAAAAAGTGATGCACGTGAAATGCAGAGCTTTTATCAGCATTACTACAAAAAGTATATCCAAGCTCTGCAAAATGCTGCAGATAAAGCTGATCGGTCAGTTTTCTATTTATGTTTTGAAGCTATGTTTGTGCCTTCGGACAATATGCTTTCATGTTCTTATGTCATAATCAACTTCTTATAATTCTTCAGTGCACAGCTTACAAAGGCATACCAAACTGCAAATGTTCTCTTTGAGGTTTTAAAAGCTGTTAATCAGACGCAGGCAGTGGAAGTTGATCGTGAGGTGAAATTAGATCACATTTTCTGAATTGTTATCTGAAGCGTATTTTGATGGGAACACTTTTTCTATTGCTGTTCCAATCTTCAGATACCATAAACTCAATTTTTCAGTGCATGGTGACTATTTTTTTTTTCACACGATTGATATAGCAATTGACTGTTTACACAGATATTGGAAGCTCATGATAAAGTTGCTGAAAAAACAGAGATATATGTCCCTTATAATATTCTTCCTCTTGATCCTGATAGTGCAAATCAGGCGATTATGAGATATCCGGAGGTGTGTTTCCAAACTATAACTATTCTTGCCTGCATTTTTTTTGGCCTTCCAATATACCTCAACATTAATCATTGAAAATTACTCTTGGTTTTTCAATTTGCAGATTCAAGCCGCTGTCTATGCTCTTCGTAACACCAGGGGCCTTCCCTGGCCTAGTGACTACAAGAAGAAGAAAGATGAAGATATCCTAGACTGGCTTCAAGCAATGTTTGGTTTTCAGGTGTAATATTGTATTTCTTTTCCACTTACAACTTTCTTCAACCTAATCAAGAAAAGAAAAGGACACTTGAATATGATGGGGAGCAAGCTGCAATCTTTTACTTTAGCTCTGACCATGGACTATGTTAATTGGTTTGCAGAAGGATAATGTGGCAAATCAAAGGGAACACCTAATTTTATTACTTGCAAATGTGCATATTCGACAGTTTCCAAAACCTGATCAGCAACCCAAGGTTTGTTTTCTGTATCATGTATTTCTTTTTTTCTCCTTTTAATTAATACAGTGATTTGCAATGGGTAATGCATGTTACAGACAAATTTTAGTGCTATTACTATTATTTTTGTTCCAAGTATATTGCTAGTTCAAATCGGCTACTGGTTCAGTGGTACAATTTGGCCCAACAACCATAGATTGTGGCATCAAATACTAGGAAATCACTTTGAACTGATAATGTCAAGGGTTAAGTCTATACCCAGTCCACTCAACACCACAATTAACTGGGATTAAATGGGGTGATTACATGTACTTTGAGTGTTCTTCATTTTTACTCAACTAACATTGGGGAAATTTAATTTGTCTATTCTACTTATACCACCATCAAGGCCTCTATTCTACCAAACAATGTTGTTTCATTTCTGTTGCTGTTTGATGATGCTAAAACCATCAATTTGCCACCTTGACACTACACCATCAAGATCATCATTACTGCCATGGCTACTATCAGTATCTTTTCTATCTCAAGTTTTTTCCTGCTCTCGTGTCACAACTCACTTAAAACTGAGATCTCATTTTTTTGCATGCGATTAGTAACTGAATAGTATTTTGTATATTTACTTTCCAATTTATGGTGAGATGAATATTCATACTATGTGATACTCTCCTGAACTCTTCCTTGTCATGCTTACTGCTGTATCTCTTATACAGCCAGTCCTCAGGAAGGAGAAAGGTAGATTAGTGCATATAACAATTGTCAAACTTCTGATAAACTTTGCATCCTGCATATTTTAACATTACTAGGGATGTCTTGTGTATTGAGTGGCAAGCCAAAATATCATAGCTTCTTGGTTGATTGAGTATGTAACTGTAGACAGCATAGAATGGAAGTAACAGACTCGTATTTCGTACAAGTTTTTTTTTTTTTTTTTCAAATTTTCCCTGCAATATACTGAACAAAAATTGTGGGTGATAAACTAACTCTGTTTTTTGATTTTGGCTTAGTTGGATGAGCGTGCTCTAAATGAAGTGATGAAGAAACTTTTCAAGAACTATAAGAAATGGTGCAAATACTTGGATCGCAAAAGTAGTCTTTGGTGAGGCTTCCCTTTTGCAGGCTGTTAGTGGGATTGATAATTGTACAACATTGTTTATGTAAGAGCATCCAACCTAAAACTTTTAATTTAATTGGTAATGGGTGGACCCCTCAACAATACAACCAATACAAGCTTTCTTCACAATATAGGCTCTAGCTTCTTGGCCCAAGGAAGGTTGTTTGTAACTAATTTCATTGTCAGAAAGTTACAGCATGAGAGTTAACAAATTTGTGAGAAGTTGTGTCGTAGTGCTTGTGACTGATGTAAACAGGAGATGTCTTGTACTTCTGTCTTTTTTGCGTTAAAAGTAGCAATAACCAAATGTCTTAAAATTCAGCATTTGACATTGTTGAACATGACAAAAGGTACGACTGGAAACTTTGTTGTGATGTTTACACGTAATTTGCATGTTTAGGCTATTTTACGCAAACAAGTAGGCAAGGATCAAAATTTTGTTTTAGTGCATTGTTTTGGGTACTTGGAAAATGAAAATGTTCCGACATGTTTCGGAAACATTTCAACCCGTTTCGAAAACAGAATGAAAAAGAATAAAAAATTTAAGAATTATTTTTTCAAAATATTGGTCGAAATATACCAAAATATCGTGAAATACCTTAAAACATTCCGAAATAATTGTGCAAGTATTTTGAAATATAACAAAATATTTCAAAATATTATGGAATACTTTGAAGTATTAGAATTTCGATTTCATCACTGATTCGTATCAGTCTCCTTGGAAACGGAAACGTTTTGCGTGTTTCAACCGTTTCAAAACAATATTTTGATCCTTGCAAGTAGGAGTTTAATTATTTTCATCTCATTGATGATAATTTGAATTTTTTTTCCTTGTGTGTTTCTGTAGGTTGCCAACTATACAACAGGAAGTACAACAACGTAAATTACTATACATGGGTCTATATCTACTAATATGGGGTGAAGCAGCAAACTTGAGATTTATGCCGGAATGCCTTTGCTATATCTATCATCATGTATGTATGGTAACTTTAAGCCATTTATGGCCATGTGGTTATTCAACCTTTTCTTCCCTACTTCTCTTTATTAGGGAACTATAATGCAAAAGTGTCAGGAGTATATTATGTGATTAAGTTAATCTGGTCCTCAGACTCTGGTACTTTTGTTTGCATATTAGACTTTTTTCTCTTTGAGCCCCCTTTTGATCAAAGATAATCATTGTATCCCATTGTCAGACTTTTTACCTCTGATTGATGTGCTATAGTTACTATTTTTTTGGGTTTCCATATTTGTCAGATGGCCTTTGAACTATATGGTATGCTAGCTGGTAATGTCAGCCCCATGACGGGTGAAAATGTGAAGCCAGCCTATGGGGGAGAGGAAGAGGCTTTTTTGGGCAAAGTTGTTACTCCTATTTATGAAGTGATTGCAAAGGTATTGCTTCATGCATTTTTTACTGTTTTAGTTGAGATTAGTACAGGTAGAACCTGAGACAGTGGCTCTACAGGAAGCTGACAGGAGCAGAAGAGGAAAATCAAAGCATTCACAGTGGAGGAATTATGATGATTTAAATGAATACTTTTGGTATTGTGTTTTATTCTCTCTTTTTCTTCCTCATCATTGTATTATCTGTGCAATTATAAATTTTGCTAATAAAATTATAGGTCAGTGGATTGCTTCCGGCTAGGTTGGCCGATGCGAGCCGATGCTGATTTCTTTTGTCTGCCCTCTGGACAATTTCATCCTGAGAAAAATGGGGTAAGCTTAAAAAGTATATTAATCTAATCAATATCGTTTTGTTTTCGGACATTTTACTATGAAAGTACAGACAATTAGTTGCTTGGTGAATTCAGATATTCCTTGTGCTCTAATGTTGCACTGCTTAGCAATGACATGAAATATAACTTATTGCAAGATTGAAAGTGCTTGTATCTTCATTCCACCCGGAAACCAAACCATACCACCTGCACATTCGCTGCCCCACCTCGCGAGCTGTCTCTTCCAGCAACTATGTAAGCTTTGAGGTGTGAGCATCGGTTGACTGCATCATTATCCTGTGCTTCTTTAGCTGTAATTTAGGTTTTGTGTTTCAATTGATTTCTAGGAAGCACGAACACTTTATTTTGGTCAGAGTGTCGGTGTCAGATATGTTTGGGGGACACGAATACGCTAAAATGAGTGTCTGATTTTTTTATTGTTGAATTTTTTTGGGGATATGTTGGTGACACGTGGCCGACGCGCTCAAGATGCGTTGGAAGACATATTTTGAGGTTTTTTTTCAAATTTTTGAAAATTTGTGAAGTAACTTTATAATTAAAAAAGTTATTTTTATAATTTTAAAGAGATAAGGGTCAAAGACATAATAAAAAGAGTTATAATCATTAGATGAATATAAGACATGAATATAACATAATTTCGGACACAAATGAAACTATAAACAATTTGAATAAGCTTTCTATATGAAAGTAATGTGATGGAAAAATGGGGTTATGAAATTGGGGATCATTGAAATTGATGAAAATTAGGATTACGAAGGGGGCTATCTTTTAAAACAAAAATTCTAATAATCATTAATAGTTGAATCATGGATGTTTATTATGAATGTGTTCGGTATATGGTATAGTGCATTTTTTATTTGATGTCATGATGTAAATTGTTAGAATTAAGGGCATGATGAATTGAATGATTATTATATATATATATATGCACACACACACACACACACTATCACATGATCTTATATATATTGTACTAGCAATAACCCATGATTGAAGACATTGTAATCCACAAAAATTGAACATTAATCGTGGACATAGAATAATCAAACATTAAACATAGACACGCATTACGCTCAACCAAATTGTCAATTGCCTAAACTGCATCCTTAATGCCTAAATTGCATCCTTAATATACTCACATTTTGTATACGTGCTCAATTGAGCATTACCTATATAAAAATTCTCATGAAGACAAATTTAAAGTGAATAGATAGAGAAAACCCAGTCTTAATAAACAAAGTTCCATAAATTTAAGCTGAACACTCATAAAATTAATATGCTTAAAATTATATACCTAATTAGAACTCATAGTAGTACCTTGAAAGATTTACTCAAAGTCAACTCAGAGAGTTTTGCAAACCTATATTAAAAGAAATGCCCATGTCTAAAAGCATTATGTAATGCTAAACAAAAAATAAGTAATCTCTCTTTGTTCATTTAAAAAATGGATAGAAATTTTTCTAAAAAGGGGACCCCAAAACATATCAACCTATATACAAAATTAATATAGATTACAATCACAACCCAAATCAATTATTGGACTCACCACCACACCACCACACCACCTCCAACCTTAATTTAAATTTTTTTCCAACCATCGCACCAACATAAACACTGGTGTACGCAATTAAAGTCCATAACAGAAATTAGTTGTGTAGGAGCGTAAACCATAGCAATCTTACGGCTCTCCTCCTACTGAACATGACCGTAGGCTTTTTGTGAAGGAGGAAATAGACTACGACTCAAAATTTGAACTCGAATATGATCACATTCAATATTTAGAACAGCAAGGAAGTCATACACTCCATCTGTTAAAATTTAACAGAATTAGTAGCACATAATCTGCTGTGAAACTTTGGTAATAGTCCAGCTCTTGCAATAAGGTAGTGCAATAAGATAGTCAACTCTGCACAATAAATTTCAAGAGTCTTATTTTTCTGATTAGTCTCTTGCACTTTCGTGCGAAGATAATAAGTCTCAACATCATTAGCCCTATGAGAATATGTATGACTTGCAGCAGTCCATATTTTATGCGTTGTATCAAGCAACATAAAGCTATGACTCATAGAGGGTTGAATTGAATTAAGCAATCAGGACATAACCAAGTCATTCTCATATGTCCACTATTTTAGTGGGGAAGTAGACTCACTAGGCTTCTTAGTCTCTCCAGACAAATACCCATCCAAAGAAATAGCTTGGACCGATAACAAACAAGTTCGTGACCATGCCCAATAATTGTGTCCATCCAACTTATCCGAACTAATTTGAAGAGACGAGTTGTTTGCAAGAGCACCTAAACGGCTCAAACCGCTCCCCCCAATGCTACTTACAGTACTAGTAGCAATCACACTCCCTTTTGACACATCCACACAGTAGGATTAACACAAAATAGTAGCAAATCACAGGAAATCCACCCTTAAAGAAAACCAACCAGAAAAAACTAGAAAAAAACCTTCAAACAATACTTAATGTTGGAATAGTAGCACTACAAGCACACAACACACATCAAGAGTCTAGGAGACCTCTCGAAGTTGGAATAATAGCCTAGAGCGATTGCTGATAGTTGAGAATGGCAAAAAAACCTCTCAAATTTACTCCAAACACAACCAAATAGCTAGAACAACGAAGAAAAGCCCTAATCGCACCTTAAGGGAGCTTTTCAAACTAGATCTAGCCCTTGGGATGCCTAGAAATCACAGATTGAGCTTTGAACCCTTAAAAATTAGAAAAACATTCGAAAAATCGAACGACCTATCAAGCAGTTTTAAAAAAATATGCAAAAATCATCATAAATCTCATGAGGTCAAGTGAATCAACCATGAGTTTTTCGGAATTTTTATGACTGGTTGGGTGCTAACGTTAGCATGTCAGATGCTGACAATCAGCACTGTTGGACACTAATTTTTTTTCCCAATGTATTCCAACAACTTTAAATTTTTGAATCTTGATCGCTGCTCTGATAATAAGTTAGATTAACGAGAATTAGGGTTATGGGATAGAGAAAAGAAGAGTAAGAGAAAGAGAGACAAGATTATGAAGAGAGTAGTGTGTATTGGGGTTACACACCTACCTCCAAATATATATATAGTCACAGAAGTACCAAAAATACCCCTTAATGGTTACATCATAATATAACATAACAATTACAATTTCCTATTGCTATGCTTTTCTCGAATTCAAGGAGCCTCTCTAACTTGTTGGACTTCTTCACCCTCACAGGATTCCTCCGTATTACTCCCCAGTGATGGGGGTTGTGGTGGTCGACCTCTTGCTCTAGGTGGTGGTCAACCTAGCAGAGGTACTGGCAGAGGAGGACATGGTGGTCATAGTGGTTGTGAAAATCTAAGGATTATTGTTGGGATAAACTTGGGAGACCACATATGCTTATCAGGTTTTTGATGAGCCGACTCCACCTGTATCTTAGCCATCGATCGGTGGTCATGCATCCATCTATATATGGTTCTCATAATGAACTTATCTCTCAACCTAGCCAAGCTCATCCAACAATTATCTTCATATATGTCTACTTCAGTTGCTGGTTGTGGCAACCTAATCAGCTTCACTATATTGAATTATTGATTCGGGAGCTAGTGTACACGTCTGGAATTTCCTCCTTATTTTCTAATTTTCACTCTTCTAACTCTTGTATTGTGTTAGCGGATGGTTCCTTTAGACCAGTGCGTAGGACTAGTGATCTCCATCCTACAAAATTCATGTCTTTACCACCTCGTTTATTTGTCTCTTAGTTTCTTTTTAATTAGTTATCTATGAGTTAGTTAACTAAGTCTTTACAATGTTCAGTCATGGTTCAAAGTCGCGGTATTGATCATCGATTTGAAGGGCATTGAGACACATTGGTCGCGGCGTGGTATTGGCCGATATGCTCAAAATGCTAAATAGAAGACCCAAAAAAAAATAAAAAAATTATGAAAAATTTTAAAAATATGTAAATATCATCATTAATGCATTATATCCCAAAAATACATTATTTAACATATTAAACATAATAAAAATGAATTATAAGGACGCTATCGAAAATATTTATCATCATTTAGGTTGAATGTTTTTATTTAAGAACACACTAAACTTTAAACATGTTATTAGAATTTTTTTTAACTTACTAGTACCTAATTTAAAAAAAAATAAAAAAATAAAAACAAGAACAACAACTATGTATTCATCAATTATAAATTTGACAAGTACGAGTAGATCTCAATACTTTACATGAATGATTTTGTTCAATTAATAGATTAATGAGTCATTGTTCTAATTTAATTTAATTTTTTCTTCTAATTATTTTTCCCTATAATTTACTAATTGAATTGGAGATTTTTCATACATAATGAGTAAGGGCCAATAAAATAAAAACACACGTGTAAAGACTAAAAGCAAAGGAAGGGGTATGACCCATAAAATATAAACACCGTGTGGGTCTGTGTTTTATTCTTGCCTCTCGGTCACGAGAGAGAACGAACAGTGAAAGAAAGAGAAAGAGGCGAACAGTGAGGGATCAACTTAGGGTTTCTGCTGGTATTGATCTGTTGTGGGTCTCCACTGAAAGAAGAAGAAGAAGAAGAAGAAGAAGAAGTCTTTTAGTCAAGGTGATTCTTCGAATTTTTGGGTCTTCTTATACTTCATCTCTTCTTTTTTTTTTTTGGGAATTTTCTCAATATTGGTGGACTATTCTGTGTGAATCAGCCAAGTTGTGCTGAGTTGGAACCGACTCACTTTGAGTTTCGCCCATTTTCTTCTTCCTTTCTCTGTTGTTTTTGAGTTTTTGCTGCCTAGATTTTTCAAATCTGATTGCACCATAGCGGTCTGACTCGGTCGAGTCTAATTGATTTAGCTTCGAGTTGGGCCGATACCACCGAGTTGTAACTGAGTCTGGACCGATTCAGTTGAATCTCGTTATATTGGTGTACCGTGAATCGTTATCGGATCGACAACTACTAAGATGGATATGAATCGGCCGAGTTGACTTGAACTTGACCGATACTTTGAACCATGTGTTTAGTGACCATTTCTCCATCCGCTTGTGTTTTTCAAGACCTCTTAACAAAAAAGATGATTGGTTCGGGGCATGAGCAAAATGGACTTTACCATTTGGATTCCAAGGTTGCAGACCTTGCCTTGAGTGCTACCGTGTCTGCACTCCAGTGGCATTTTCGATTGGGTAATCGTTAACTATAGAAGATTTTTGTCAAGTCATTCTTAGTTTGAATCCTTCTATTTATGTTAGAATGTGAGGTTTGTTAATTAGGCAACCATGATCGTAGTTCCTTTTCTATTAGTAGTACAAGAAGTCAATCTAGTCCTTTTGATATTGTTTATTTTGACATTTGGGGTCCTTCAAGAATAAATAGTATTTTTGAATTTTATTATTATGTGATTTTTGTGGATGATTATTCTCGTATGACTTGGTTATTTCTTATGAAAGATCGTTCTGAATTGTCTAAAATTTTTTACATCTTCTATAATGAGATTTTAGTATAGTTTGAGAAACGTGTCAAGAAATTTTGTTCAGATAATGCTCGAGTATGTACAAGCATTTATGCATACATTTTGTGCCAATCATGGTGTCATTCATCAAACTATATGTCCCACACACATCCCAGCAAAATGATATTGTAGAACGCAAACATTATTATTTATTGGATGTTGCTCATACTCTCATATTTAACTTGCATGTACCCAAGTCTTATTGGGCAGACACTTATCTCACTGCAGTTTATCTCATTAATCGGATGCTCTCTTCCATCGTAAGTAATAAATCTCCATTCTCATTACTCTATCCTAATACATCACCCTTTGGCCTCATCCCTCGGGTCTTTGGGTTGTGTTGTATTTGTTTATCTTTTAAGTTCGGGATGGTATAAACTTTTCCCTCGCTCCTAGTTAAGTGTGTCTTTCTAGGATACTTTTATACTTAGAAAGACTATTGTTGTTATGACCCCGTCTCTTCTCGGTATTATGTCAGTGCTGACGTTACCTTTTTTTGAGTCTATTTTTTTTTTTTTTTGTAGTTCATGGAATACCCTTTTCCTAGATTTGATATCTACTACTCAAGGGGAGCTTATACTGCCTCTTGTACTAGATAGTGTATCTTCTTCCTCTTCGATTCTTGACTCCTCCATTTCACGTTTATCGTCGTTCTCTAGACAGATAGGTTGTTCCATATGCTCTAGCTCCCTGACCAATGCTTGTTTCTACTAAGGTCTTTCCTCCTAAGCTATCTATTGCATCACTCTCTTTTGATTTGCCTATTGCATTACTGAAAGATACTCGTACTTGTATTCAACACCCTGTTTCCAGTTTTGTCTCTTTGCATAGACTTTCCTCATCTTTTCTTTGTTTTGTATTAACCCTGTCTCCTGTATTTGTTCCTAATTCTTTGAAACATGCCTTAACATCTCCTAGATGAAAACTTGTTATGGATGAGAAAATTAAGACACTTCATGACAATTATACTTGGGATCTCACATTTCTTACTTCTGATAAGCAACTTGTCAGTTGTCAATGGGTTTACACAGTGAAATATCACCCAGATGGGTCTGTTGAACGTTTGAAGACATGGTTGGTTGTTAAGGGCTATACCCAGACTTATGGTGTGGATTACTGGGATACTTTATCTCTAGTTGCTTGTCTTAACTTTATTAAAGTTCTTATTTCTGTTGCAGTCAATTGTGATTGATCATTGTATCAATTGGACATAAAAAATACTTGGGTTTGCCTTCAAGTTATGTTGTTTCTAGCCAAGAACAATTAGTGTGTTGATTGAAGAAAGCACTTTATGGCATAAAGCAGTCATCATTGGTTTGATAAGTTTAGTATAACTGTACTTCAGTTGGCTTTCTGTGTTTCACATCAGATCATTTAGCCTTCATTCGTTGTTTTGCGGCAGACATTATTATTGTCATTGTGTATGTCGACGACATCATCGTTAATGATAATGACTCAAATGGTATTGCTTGCTTTAAGATCTATTTGGGGAAGCAGTTTCACGTCAAAGATTTGGGTCTCCTTTGGTACTTCCTAGGGATTGAGGTTGTCCTGTCAAAGAAGGGTATTAGTTTGTGCCAACGGAAGTACGTATTGGATTTATTATCTAAAACTGACACTCTTGGTGCACGCTCGATTAATATGCCTATGGATCCTATAATTAAGTTAGACTTTGAGAGTGGTGAGGTGTTTGATAATATAGGACGTTATTGAAGGCTAGTTGACAAACTAATTTATCTCACAATTATACGCCCTGATATTACATATGGTGTTAGCGTGGTCAGTCAGTACATGCATGCTCCTCGTAAGCCTCATTGGGAGGCTGCCTGCCGTATCTTTTGATACCTGAAAGGAGCTCTGAGAAAAGGACTATTATATCGCCCACCATCTACCATAATTGTTGTTGGTTTTTTTAATGTTGACTGGCAGGGAGTCATGGTGATAGACGATCTACGTTTGGTTATTATACGTTTGTTGGAGGTAATTTTGTTACACGATGCAGTAAGAAGTAGAATGTGGTTGCCCGTTCTAGTGCAGAGGCTGAATATTATACTATGACTCATACTACTAATGAGATCTTATGAGTTTGTTCATTACTTTGTAATATGAGAGTTGATGTGTCTTCCCCTATGAAGAATGCATTGTGACAACTAAGTAGTTGTTTTCATTGCAAGTAATTTGGTATTTCATGAGCATACTGAACACATTGAGGTGGATTGTTATTTCATTTGAGATTTATTGATGTGGACGGAGATTATCACTCTATATATTAAATCTAGTGATCAGGATGACATTCTTACGGAGCCATTGGTTTGGTCTGCCTTCAGTAATTTATGTTCCAAGTTAAGAATTTTTGATCCTTATGCTCCATCTTGAGGGGGAGTGTTAGAGTTCTTATTTTCTTATTTTATATATCGAGTCTTATGTTAATTAGTATAGGATAATATTGTAAAATTACTCTAAACATTGCTTAGTTATAATTAAGGTGTAGGGTAATAGAGCCTCTACACAGCAGATTATTCTTTCCTCTCCCTCTTTTCCTTTTCTTTCTCTCTTTCTCTACATCTTTCTAACCCTAATATTATTTTTTCTATTTCAACTTAGGATAACAAGCCAGCTGCTCCGGACCGTTGGGTGGGGAAAGTTAATTTTGTTGAGATACGATCATTTTGGCATGTATTTCGAAGCTTTGATAGAATGTGGAGCTTCTTTATATTGGGTTTACAGGTAAGTTGTTTTTCTTCATTTTCTGCACTTAGTTTTCTTCATTTTACCTATGATTTCATTGCATACAATTGAAATTGTTTGCTTCTTTAAGGTTATGGTAATTGTTGCTTGGAATGGTTCTGGACAACCAAGCTCCATTTTCAACTCTGATGTGTTCAAGAAAGTACTGAGTGTCTTTATAACTGCTGCAATACTGAAGCTTGGGCAAGGTATGGTGAAAGAAATAATTCTGCTTGTGCTGTCATGTTATGATTTGTACTGTTGATTATAAAATATTTTAGAATTTCCTTTACAGGTCTTGCCCATTGCATGTATAAAGTAATACGATCATGACATTTGTCATTGTTGTCTTCTCCTTCTTTCTTCCTGAGTTGGGGTGGGGAAGGAGGTGGGGTGGGTCGATTGGAGGTTCTAATAAATTTGCGCTATAGAATCTTACAGGAATTATTTGGGCAAGTCTGACCATAAACAATTTACTGGTAACATGGAGGAATCGAGGACTTGTTGTACTTGATTATGATTTTGGTTTTTTTGATCTTTATATTGGTGCTTAAAAAAATGAAATATATACTGAATTGCAGATAAGTTGATGAAACGTATGCTTTCAATCAAGAGATGTAGTTAAATCATATGTTAGTGTCTTTTGGGCCAACAAACTTAGTCAAATGAAGATATTGGTAACTTAACATTGTAACGGGTGAAGAAAAAGGTTTAGGAGCATGGTTGGTCAATGTTTTATCCAAGTTTATAAAATGATATGCTCTATAGACTCTTGGTGGCGAATGTAGAAATCATCAATGTTGATTTCAAAATTATCGTCTATGATGTATAAATTACCACTGCTTTTGTCAATATGAAAATTTGAAGGATTACTGGCTAGTATACGTGTAACTGCATTTTGATTTATAAGGTCTTTTGGTTGTCAAAAATCTGGATTAGGATGCTAGTAAAAGATGTGAACATGGTTACAAGAAGTGTGTAAAATTGATCAGTCTTTGCTCACTATAATTATAAAAAAGGCACTAATACATTTCGGGCCCGTTCATTGAGGGTGACGCAACCTTTGGCATTATTTATGCAAAGCTTGTGGTTCTCGGTCTGAGCTCTTACAAGTTACTACTGCACTTGGTAATTAATGGCTTATTCATGTTGACTATGGTTTGAAAAGCTTTATTTCCTACTATGTATTGAATATTTTTCAATAAAAAAATGCTTAAAAGGATGCGGCTTTCTGAGAAAATGGTAGTCCTCTACTTCACCTGATCCTGGCAAGAAACTATACCATAACAACTGTTTCTGTTATTCTTGATGTCATCTTTCCCTTAGTTTCCTTATCCTGTAGTCTTGAAGCTTTGAGGGTTCTTTTTTTCTTGCGTTGTTAATGAATAGCTCAAGACATACTAACTGAGCAAGAAGCCATAGTTAAGGTGGAATGTTGTTCCATTTCAATATACTTCATGAATGCTACAGTAGGATGATTGTACTTCTTAATTTGTGCAGCTGTCCTTGACGTAATCCTTAGCTGGAAAGCAAGGCAGAGCATGTCATTCCATGTTAAGCTACGATACGTTTTAAAGGTTGTGTCTGCTGCTTCATGGGTGATAATACTACCTGTTACTTATGCCTATACATGGCGAGATCCACCTGGATTCGCTCAAACTATTAAAAGTTGGTTTGGCAATAGTTCAAATTCTCCTTCGTTGTTCATTTTGGCTGTTGTCATCTACTTGTCACCCAATATACTTGCTGCAATATTATTTCTTTTCCCCTTCATCCGTCGATTCCTTGAGAGATCAAACTACAGAATCGTGATGCTTATGATGTGGTGGTCACAGGTTTGAACTCTGTCTTATTTTTTCATGTTGCTATTTGCTTTTTATGATTGAGAATTTGTTCATCAGTCCACATCAAAAGGCAACTTTGTGATAGTCTATGAGCTCTGAGTATGTTTAAATACAATCTTGCAGCCTCGGCTGTACGTTGGTAGGGGGATGCATGAGAGCACATTTTCTCTTTTCAAGTAAGATACCCATGAGTATGATTTCTATAGTAATATTATTGAATCACATTATTTAATATCTAATCACTCTGTATAATCTTTCAGGTACACAATGTTTTGGGTTCTTCTGATAATGACAAAATTGGCATTCAGCTACTATATAGAGGTGCCTATGTTGACCATTCTCCCTTATTAATGTAGATTTCTTGTTCTATTCTTGTGTTAATTTGATCCTAAAGTATTCAGTTTGTGTTTAAATGGTCCCTACATAGACGGTTCGTTAAGTTCTTTGACGAAGTTGCCATATGTCATCCCTTCAGACAGAATTACGTGAATAACACGTGATTCGAAGGCATGACCACTTGCTTTGATTCCGTGATAAAACTATAAGATGAGAGTTTATTAAGACAATACATACAAGACCCTTATTGTATATACTTATCTACACCAATAATGTAAATAAGGATTGATCCAAAAAAAAAAAAATAATGTAAATAAGGAATCAAATGAATTGCATAATTCAAGCAATCAATCATCCGACTTCCCATTCTTCGAAGTAATTGTTTAATCACTCTCATTCACACTCTTCTACATTCTCCCTCACCATCATGGAGGTTTCAAAGAACATCTCTATGAGTTTTTCTTAAGATGGATGCACTCTACCTTAATTGTGGATGGATTTAGAACATTACAAATGAAAATAACCTCTTTTGGACATAAAAGCCTCCATGTCATTGGCTCTTTTGAACCTTAAACTTGGCTCATTAGCAAAATGCTTGGGCTTAATTTTGAAGTCCTTGAGCACATCTTCTAAATTCTTGTTCCTACCAAATGGGAAGTGGTATCGCAAATGATCAGCTAGCAAAAAATTGATAATGAGATTAACTCCATCTGTGTCATGAAATCATCACAAAGTTATCATGGGTATGAAGAGGGAGATTGGAAGTGTTTTCTAAAAAAATTGCAATATTCACGTAATGTTTATAAAATAAATCTGATTCATGTAGATTAGGAGACAACCAGTTTTTTGGCTAGTCAAGTGGCCAAATGCCACCCACCATAAGAGTAGTAGCAATAAAGTACTTAACTCAAGTCTAGATTGGCTTGCTGTGATACCATTTTAACCATCAACTACTTCAAAAGCTTAACCTATAAGAGATGATGTAATTTAAGTATTTATATACTTCAACAACCGATGTTGCTTTAAGTGGGGATCAATTGTTATCAACTTGTTCTAACAGTCTTAATCTTTTCGTTGCAGATCAAGCCACTAGTGGGTCCAACAAAAGCTATCATGAGTGTTCACGTATCGACTTATCAGTGGCATGAATTTTTTCCCCGTGGTAATGAACATGACTAAGTGGAATAAACTGTACTGTTTCATTTTTTTCTTAACTGTTTTTTATGTGGTTTTCTGTTTTGCAGCAAGGAGCAATATTGGTGTTGTGATTGCGCTTTGGGCTCCAATTATTCTTGTATGAGTTATGCTTGTTTTAGTCTTGATCTTTCTTTTTTTCTTGTTTAGCCTGTTCTACCATATGCTCTAATACATTGCATGTTTCTAGGTCTATTTCATGGATACCCAGATCTGGTATGCCATATTCTCCACATTATTTGGAGGAATATATGGTGCATTTCGGCGTCTTGGAGAGGTCAGTTTCACTCCATAATTTTCTCTCTGTCACCCAGTTTTGTTGCTCCATTTTTGCAAATTACTGGGACTTGAAATCTTGTGTTTTGGCTAGACGTCATTGTGAATTCATATGGTTTGAGGATTATCTAAAATCTTCATATAGGTTCTCATCAGCTTAACTAGTTAGTTGCCTAGGTTTTGAACAACCAAAAAACAAAAGCCTTATGAATATAGGGTGTAGCTTTGGTTTGTTTTGTTGTTCTTTTTTTTTTTCTTTTTTTTTTTTTTTTGGGGGAGGGGGGGTTGTCAATTCTTGCACCATTGGTTGTGTAGGCTCTAGGTCATGGTGCCTTTCGTGATCAATGATCATTAAATTTCATGAGAAAGGGGAGAGGCAATCAACCCAAGCAAAGTTTCTCAGTACAAATTGGCTAAATGTCTGATAGAGTATTTCATATTAATAGTGGGGACTGTGCGCTGAATGGGATTTATACCATCCCAGCCAACATCCACCCTACTAGCCCCTCCCCCAACCCGTTTTTGTTTGTCATTATTAGAGTGTCAATGGAATGAAGATTGTAAAGAGGAGGTGGAAAGTTGAAGAGAGAGAATTAAGAAATTGGATGGTAAAGGTAGAAGTAAAGGGGAGAGAATTAAGAAATAGAATGGTAAAAGTAGAAGTAAGGAGGAGAGAAAGCGGGGAATTGTGACGTAAGGTTGTCAAAGATAAGAGTCCCACGTCACATTAGATTTTAGCTAAGAAGCACAGACATGGGTGTCGTATCCGATACGATATGGACTCGAGGATACGACAATTTCAAAATATGGGATACAAATACGGCAATGATACGCCTAAGTAAAATAATAATATATATTTTTATATATACAATAATTGCATTCTTAAAAACTAATAAGACCTAGCAAGCTCATTTTCCTAAATTCTAAATAACAAATAAATGATTGTAAACATCGAAAACAAATCAAGAGTGTAAAGCACCAAAAAAAAAAAAATTGAGATCTCGATGGCAATCGGCATAATCAAATAACAAATATAGTATTCAACAACCTTTGGCCAAAAATTAGTAGCGCATTAATAACAAAAAATCTCTAAAATATCTCCAAAATTTAAAAATCCTAAAATTCTAACCTAATCAAATTAACAAATTAGATAAATCTAAATCTAAATAGTAAAATTATTGCATAAAATCAACCTCAAAACATGCAAAACACAGAAGTTAAAAAACCCAAAAAAGAAAAAGAACTTGATACCATGATTCACGATCTAGAGAGTGGATAGCAACAAATATGGAGATTCGCAGTTGCCGGTTGCAGGTACGGTCTTCCCTCGCCTTCTTCTCCTCCTCTTCTCCTCATTACTAAAGTAAATCTGGTGGAGATGGTTCGATCAAAGCCTTCCGTTCTCCTCTTCTCTCTCTGTGTCGCAATTCTAGGATGGGAAGTGGGGAACGAAGGCTTAATTCACGTTCCCTTGCTTTTCTTTTTCTTTTTCCCGCCTAAAAGTGACGACGTCTTTTTTTTTTTTGTTTTAGCCCCTCAAAATTTAAAAAAAATTCCTTTCTCATGTTTAGGACACATCTAGAAGTGTCGGACACGTGTCCGGCCATGTCTGGTGTAGGACAGAATTGGAAGGAGGCTAAGGAAAGAGGAAATATTGAAAACAGGTGCTGCTTAAGGATTGTTTAGGGGACCGTGAACAGTAGAGGGAGATAGAAAGCAAGAAGGAGAATTAGAAGGAAGAGAAGATAATTCTAGGCCTCCGACCTAGAAACCCAAGGCATCTCACCTAGGGACTCTTTAGCATCACACAATCTTAAAAGCTTAGAAAAGCTTTTGAAAATTTCATATATTTATTTATCATACTTGAAAGTCTTGAAGTTACATGAATATATAGGACTTCAAAAATTAATTAATGCTGAAAATTTTCAATTCCCAAAAAGCTAGATACAATGAATGAATCTGTGGATACATGTATAGAAAACCTGTGGTTAATGTAACTAAATGAAAGGTTATAAGGCAAATAAAAAGCCATGCAGATTTTTAGAAATCAGCCCATGTCTAGTCAATATCTCAAGTGAGCCTAACATCATCCAATATAGGCTAAATTGAGGTTTGAGCCTTAGAACCATCCAGGCCACGTCTTTTATGTACCTTTATTGGACGTTGCTATTTTTCATCAACTCTCCTCGGCTTGACTCTTGAGAGAACTCGACCCTGGCGAGTTCAAAACATGAAATTTTTCATAAAATCCAAGGTTGAGATGTTGGAACTGTTCATCGGTAATCCAGGTGCAATCTAAAAGTGGACGCCCCTTCCATTTATCGAGATATTTCTGATAACCACCATTTCTAGTTGAAACAATCTAATGATCAACCATGTCTTCATTTTCATCCTTTAGATATGTGGCTTGTGGTAGAGAAGTAACTGGATCAGGGTGTACACCATTGTTAGTGTGTCTAGGGTATTTAGTAAGATCCTCAATATTGAAGACATTACTGATGCTCATATCTTCATGTAAGTTAAGAACATGAACATTGAAGTTAATTTTCTTGAGAACCTTAAATGGACCAGCACTCTTTGAATGAAGCTTCTTATAAGCACCTTTAGGATACTGTTCAGGCCTCACTTAGACCATAACCATGTCTCCTTCATCGAATTCAGCAAAATTTCTCCTCAAATTAGGATGTCGTTTGTAGTTCTCATTGTTTATGGCAATCTTTCGTCGAACCTCAACATGTATATCATAAATATGCTTGCTAAAGGCTTCAGCTTCAACACTTGGGCGAGTTTCGATAGGTAACGGAACCAAATCAATTGACTTTCTAGGAAGCAAACCTGTAACAATCTCAAATGGACTGCGACCCGTAGATCTATTGACAGAGCTATTATATGCGAATTCAGTTGTAGGAAGTACCTGATCCCAACTATTAACATGATCCCCAACAAGGCAGCGAGTAGGTCTACCAAACTGCGGTTGACAACCTCCGTTTGGCCATCAGGTTGCGGGTGGAAAGCGGAAGAAATCTTTAGCCTTATATATAGCAACTTCCATAGAGTGCGTCAAAAATAACTTACGAACTTCATATCACGATCAGATACAATAGTTCGGGGTAATCCGTGAAGACGAACAACTTCTTTAAAGAAAAGCTTAGCAATGTGAATAGCATCGGATGTCTTCGAACAAGGAATAAAGTGAGCCATTTTTGAGAAGCGATCCACAACCACATAAATGGAGTCGTGTCCTCGAAGGGTTCTGGGCAATCAAAGGACAAAATTCATACTTAAATCTTGCCATGGCTAGTGTAACATAGGTGGTGGGGTGTATAAACCAATATTCTTCTTTTTGCCTTTTGAAAGTTGGCAAGTTCGACACTATGAAACTACCTTGGCTACATCCCGCTTTAGCTTTGGCCAATAAAAGCGATCTTCAGTCATTGCAACTGTCTTATTTCTTCCAAAATGACTTGTTGTCCCTTCGGAATGTAATTCCCAAATCACTTTTCACGAAGAGAAGTGTTGGGAAGCAAAACCGGGTTCCCTTGAAGAGGTAGCCGTCATATAAGGAGAAATCATCATATCCTCCCTGCTGTCCAACCAATAACTTAGCATGTATAACTCTGAAATCCTTGCAAGAAGGATAGTCCCCTTTGAGCAAATCAAAACCCACAACTTGTATAGCCATGGAAGAAAGAACATACACCACTCGGCTAATGCATTAGCTGCCTTATTCTCATAACCAACCTTATGTTTGATAACAAAAGAGTATTCTTGCAGAAATGAAACCCACTTACCATGCCGATGATTCAATTTCTTTTGGAAGTTAATGTATTTGAGTGCTCCATGGTCGGAATACAACACAAACTCCTTAAAAAGAAGATGGTGATGCCAATACCGAAGTTTTTGTATTACTGCATAGAAGTCTTTGTCATAGGTAGAGTACTTTTGCTTGGCTTCATTGAGCTTTTCGCTGAAGTAAGCAACCGGGTGCCCTTCTTGAGTAAGCACACCTCCAATCCCAGCATGGGATGCATCGCAAGCCACCTTAAACACCTTTGAGAAATTAAGAAGGTGTAGTACAGGAGCTTCAGTCATTATTTTCTTTATTTTTTCAAAGGCCTTTGTTGCTGCTTTGGTCCAAACAAACTGTCCCAACTTCATACAGTTGGTTATAGGTGCCATAATTATGCTGAAATTCCTGATAAAGCGACGATGATAAAGCGACGATAAAAAGTCTCCAACCCATGAAAACTTCATACTTTATGCAAGGAACTAGGAATCGGCCAATCTAGAATGGCTTTCACCTTGCTTGGATCAGCCTCCACTGCTTTAGAAAAAACAGCAAAGCCCAAAAATAGAACACTTGAGCTTATGAAAGAACACTTCTTTAAATTCATGTAGAGCTTTTCGTGGCAGAGAACCCTCAAAACTTGTTGAAGATGAAAAATGTGTTCTTCCTTAGTCTTGCTATATATTAGAATGTCATCAAAATAAACAACTAGAAATTGACCAATAAATGGCTGCAATACCTATGTCATAAAGCGCATGAAGGTACTAAGGGCATTTGTAAGACCGAATGGCATGACTAACCATTCATAGAGGCCATCTCTTGTCTTGAAAGTTGTCTTTCATTCATCTCCTGGTCTTATGCGTATTTGATGGTATCCACTTTTTAGATCTATCTTAGAAAATATGCAAGAACTAGCTATCATATCCAACATATCATCAAGCCTTGGAATGAGGAATCGATATTTAATTGTGATCTTGTTTATAGCATGGCTGTCAACACACGTGTCAACTGCCATCTTTCTTTGGCGTGAGCAATGTGGGGGACAGCACAAGGGCTTACACTTTCACGAATAAATCTCTTGGATAGCAGCTCATCTACTTGCCATTTAAGCTCTGCATGTTCACTTGGATTCATGCGGTTAGCTGGAAGATTAGGTAATTGTGACCTTGGAACGAGGTCTATTGCATGCTGGACATTGCGCATTGGAGGAAGTTCATTTGGTAGCTCTTCGTGTGCAACCAACATTAGAGAAGTGAGATAGCATCTTAGTCACCTCCGGTGGTATTGCAGTGGATAAAACTACTTTTGTTTTTGATACTTTTTTCATCACCACAACATATATGACCCCCGATTCCATACTCTCTCGATTAAAGCGTTTCTTGGTGAAAACATGAAGGGACTTTGGCTTAACATCAGCATCATCCTTCGGCTTTTTTTCTTTGAATTTCTTCATTTCAGCTGTAGTCAATGACTTCAAAACAATATCTTTGTTGTTAAATGAGAAAGAGTATGCATTTTTGTTTTGCACAGTGATGTATATCTTTATCATAAAGCCAAGGTCTTCCAAGGAGAATGTGAGTAACTTTCATAGGAATCACATCACACCAAATATATTCACTATAGGAACCGTAAGAAATAGAGACAAGACATCGTTGAATTATCAGAATAGAAGTGCTGTCAATCCAAGCTATCTTATATGGCTGAGGATGTGGTTGAATGGGAAGAGCTTAAGGCGCTCAACGATGGATGATAATACAACATTCATGCAATTGCCACTGTTAATAATAAGCTTACAGGCTTGATCTCCACAACGATGCTGAAAAATAGAAGTGTGCCTCCAATCTTCCTTCTCAACTTTAGGGGCTGCAAGGATACGCCTAGCAACCGAAATCAATGAAGTGTCAATTTCTTCGTCTTTTAAATCATCAGTATTGAAGGCCCCAACATCAAATGATTCCTCCTCATTCTCATGGTGTTGTTGGTCAAGTTCCTCATTATGCTCCACTCCCATATGTAAATTTCTTTTTGGGCATTAAAATGCCATGTGACCTGTCTCCCCACATTTGAAACAGTTGCTTTCCTTTCCTCCCAATTTGTTGGTTGGATGAGCTTTGCCTTTTGGGTCAGCCATGTTTTGAGAAGATGGTTTAGAATCATTGGTTCGAAAGTTACTTGCATCATTGTACTTCTTTGATGTTGTATCCGCTTGAGACCCGAACCTTCTTGTAATTGGGTACTTCAAATACTTTTCCATATCCAAAGCAACCTGGAAAGCATGTTCAAGACTGTACAAGGGTTGACGAAGCAGCTCCCTCCTTATATTTGGCCTCAAACTCATCTTGAATCGTGCAAGAGTTTGACTTGGATCTTTCACCACTTGACTCCTTGTTTAAAGTTCATCAAATTTCTGCACATATGCGGCCACCGACATGCTATTTTGCTTTAATTCCATGAGTTGTTCACATAACTTCTCATGGTAATTTGCTAGCATGTACTTCTCCCGAAGTTTAGCTTTCATTTCTTCCTATGTACTAATTGGTGGCTGTCACAATCGCCTAATATCACCTTCAACGCCTGTCTACCAAATTTTTGCTAATCCCACAAGCTTCATCTTAGCAAACTTCACTCGTCGATTGTCAATCATATCAAATCAATCAAAGTATTCCTCGATGGAAGCAAGCCAATCAGAAAATAACGTAGGATTAACTTTACCTTCAAAGTCTTGAACCTCCATTTTAACCTTCTTTGTGATATCTCCGGTCGTATCATATGTCTCCTACCGTTCTCTTTCTAGTACTTCTCTAGCCCATTCTGGCATAAGAGGTTGTGGTATTCCAGCTGGTAATTTACGTGTTGGAGGAGGATTCGGGACTTGCGCCTCTGCTACTCTTTTATTCTCCACATGACCCTCGATAGTAGCTTTTCCTTGCTCATGGGCTGCTGTATTGTTGAGTGTTGAACAATTCTAGTCTCCCAAGTTGGTCATTCGGAAGCTTATACCATTCAACTGTTCCGTAATCCGGAGTACCATCTCATCTCGTTGATTATCTGTCAATCTCCTTCTAAAAGGTCTGCCTGATCGTGTAGTCATGGCACTATCCAGCTATGATACCAAAAATATAGGACAGAATTGGAAGACGGCTAAGGAAAGAGGAAATACTGAAAACATGAGTTGTTTAAGGCATAGTTATTAAATCGTGTATTGGAAGCCGTATCATTTTTTAAAAATAATGTATCGTATCGTGTATCATAAAATACAGTGTAATTTTAAATAAATAATAAAAAAATATATATCTCTTTGAAAAAAAATCATACTCATAAAAATATAGCATTTCATTAATACTCCACCACCTATTCAAGTCATCAACATAGTTCACTAATATTATAATGCAAAGTTTACAACCATAGTTCACTAATTCAAACTTCAAACACCAAAGAGACTTTTAATCCAAATTTATAACATCTATTTTGAACTCAATCCATAAAATTAATCAAGATTCATAAATTTTTATACAAAAAAAAAAAAAATTAGTGTCTTATTTAGATAAAACGATGTCGTTTCATCAGTGGCGGGGATAGAAAAATTAGTCTTATTTAGACAAAACGACGTCGTTTCAGAAAAAAAAAAAAAAACAGGTTTTGCGTGAATCGGTTGTATCGTACTGATACGTATCGTATCGTAAAAACGTATCGTGTATCGGACGATACGACGCAAAAAATGATACATAACTATGGTCCGTATCGTTTTACCTCCATATCGTAACGTATCGCACGATACTAACAACTATGGTTTAAGGGTTATTTAGGGGGCTGTGAACAGTAACGTGAATAGCAGTCATGAACAGTAGGGAGAGATAAAAAGCAAGAAGGAGAATTAGAAGGAAGAGAAGATAGTTCTAGGCCTCACACCTAGAAACCTAAGACATTTCACCTAGGGGCTCTTTAGCATCACACCAAAGAAAGAATTACATCACACAATCTTAAAAGCTTATGAAAATTTCATATATTCATTCATCATACTTGAAAGTCTTAATGTTACATCAATATATAGGACTTCAGAAACTAATTAATGCTGAAACTTTTCAACTCCCAAAAAGTTAGATACAATGAATGAATCTATAGATGCATGTATAGAAAATCTGTGGTTAATGTAACTAAATGAAAGGTTATAAGACAAATGAAAAGTCATGCAGACTTTTAGAAATAAGCTCATGTCTAATCAATATCCCAAGTGGGCCCAACATCATCCAACATATGCCAAATTAAGGCTTGGACCTTAGAACCATCCAGTCCACGTCTTTTATCCACCTTTATTGGATGTTGCCATTATTCATTAGTATCCCACACATATCTGTGTCGAATACGTGTTCGACAATGCCACGACGACCTCCCAGCGAGTATCCATGCTTTCTAGGATTTTAGAAATATGAATTAAAAAAATAAAAAATTTGGAGTGGGAGGTTGGAGGATAATGGGCCTTTCCTACATTGCTATAGAATACAGAACTTGTGGATTGCGTTGGTCACTTTTTTGTGATTCTTAGACTGTTCTATCCTTAGATGCCCCTATGTGCTTATATTGAAGTTCAAATATGTGTTTTTTTTTTTTTTTTTTTTCCAAGTTTTTTCCTCTTTTGGCTCAATAGTTTGATTTGGATGGATTAAGACGAGAGTTAGGAAAGAAGTGCAATTTTCGTGTTCTTCAAATCTACTCTTGATCATTTTTGTCGCATTTTTCTGTCTCATCTTTTGGACTTTGACCAGCCAAAACAAAAAAGATGTGTGCTCTATGCCACAGGAAAACTGCCACAGTAAAATAATTAGATATGCTTTTCTAAGTGAAGGAACTTCTAAACCAGCTGATCGTGTTTTTTTTTTGGGTCTATAACACAAAAACTAAGTCGCATTAGTTTTGCAACCTTTCACTTCCAAAGAGGATAGGCAGCAAATGCTAAACAATGAGCTCTCGGAGAGTTTGGGATGAACCAATAGCAAGGAAAACCATGGGATATTCTTGGTAAGGAGACCAAAATGTCTTGCCTCAAATTTATTACTAATGAGCTCTTTTTGGTTGTTGTAAACGTGATCACTTGGGTTGGGTGGGTGTTGTCCACTGTAGCTTTTGGGGTCATTTTGACACATCTCATTTTTTTTGTTTGAACTAGTGACCTGTTATTGGTCTACACTTTAAGGGGGTATACTTGAGCTGTCTGCAATCTTGGTTTGGCATGAAAAGACGAGATTAAACATGTTACAAGCTTTCTACTCTGCGCACTTGTAGTCATAGTCGGACCATCTTATTTATTTGAGGACGGACATCAACTAGAGTGTTTGTTTGAATAAAAATTGGAATGCAACTTTCTGTGTTTGAATGTGTGTGAGCTTATGTCGTATGTATATGCTTGTATGAGTATATTTATTTCTGTTGGCTTCCTGTGTTTCTCAAAGAACCAAGTGGGTTAAGGTTTGACCATAAAACTAAATTTTTAGGTTTATAATCAAAGGTACAATGCATCACTGAATGCCTTGCCAATTTATGAATGACCAAGGGGTTAACCTATTAAAGGCATCCAACCTAAAACAAGTTCTTTACACCAAAACCGCAGGTGGCCCTAATCATTTGATGTGGTATTCGAGTTCTTTTTATTCCCAGCTTCATGTGGGACCAGGTTCACAAGTTGGCTAGCAAACAAGCATGCATATCAAGAAATTCAAATAATTAAAAGGTTCTAAGACGTAGTTCTAGTTGCATTTTATCAGTATTGAATCCAAAATCCATTGACAATGAGTAGAGGAGTCGCTCAACTATATAAAACAAGTTTAGGTGATCATAATCTTTTGATTTGATTTGGGATACAAGCTCTCTTTACATGACTAAGGAATTCATCTATCCATCTCAAGAATAATGTAGTATCTTATGTGGTTGTAAGGATCAAAATTTTGTTTCGAAACGGTCAAAATGTCCGAAACGTTTTCGTTTAGAAGGAGATCGAAACGAATCAGTGATGCAATGCAAATTCTAATACATTGAGGCGCTTCATAATGCTTCAAGGTGTTTATAATGTTTCAATACATTTGGATACTTTCAAAATGTTTCAAGGTATTTCATGATAATTTGGTATATTTCGACCAATGTTTTAGAAAAATAATTCTTAAATTTTTTATTTTTTTTCATTTTATTTCCGAAACTGGTTGAAATGTGTCCGAAACACGTTGAAACGTTTTCGTTTTCTAGGTGATTGAAACAATGCACTGAAACGAAATTTTAATCCTTGTGTGGTTGGATGCATTAGGCCTTCAGTCCCTATCTTTTGCTTCCTGACGCTTTGTCATCTTTAGACTTATCGTATTTTCATGAAAGCTGCAATTTAGTTATATGCAGGAAATGCTCTAATTTATTTTATGGTTTACAGATTCGAACTCTAGGAATGCTAAGATCTCGATTTCAATCATTGCCTGGTGCTTTCAATGCCTGTTTAATTCCAGAGGAGAAGAGTGAGCCAGCAAAAAAGAAAGGACTGAAGGCCTCTTTGTCCCGCAACTTTGCTGCGGTTAGTTTCTTTCTTTTTTTGCGTCATGTTCAACCTTTGGAAATTGTAGAACAAAGTCTGTAGGTATTGGTTTCATAATTTTTTTTTTGAAATATGGATTCTTCCTCTAACTTGCAGTTGTTGGTATGTCTTGCGTTCATTGCAGATCCCATCTAACAACGAGAAAGAAGCGGCAAGATTTGCTCAGTTGTGGAACAAAATAATCACTAGTTTCAGGGAGGAAGATCTTATAAGTAATAGGTAATTCTGAAGTTTCTACCTGAAAATTATACCTGTTTATATCTGTTTTACTCTATGACTCCCATGAGCTTTCTTTTAATTTGCAGGGAAATGGACCTGTTGCTTGTTCCATATTGGGCTGACCGTGACTTGGACCTCATACAATGGCCTCCCTTTTTGCTTGCCAGCAAGGTCTTGGTTTGAATTTTTTCCCAAGAATGAATTTTAGTTGTTAAATCTCAAACTCACAATGGTAAGAAAGAGTATCTTGGGATCAACTAAGAGATGTTTAGGAACACTGATATTAACTCAGAATTTTGTTAATATGGAAGATATGACTGAATATGAAGAGTTTGGTAGATTAGAAACTCTGGCAACAGAAGGTGACCACTGTAGCGCATGGAGACTCTGGTCTATCATTCAAGAAGACAAACTAAAGCTGGATTATAATTTACTGTTTATAGTTCACAGGTTTTCTTCTTTCGGGGAAAAAAGAGAACAAAAGTAGAAGACAACGTTACAATGAAATACCTCTCCTCCTTTTAACCCGCGTCTATTATCTTAGTCCGATTATTGTATAATGTTTCTAATATAAAGAGGTCCTCCCAAGTTTCAACTACATGCTTTAGAATCTACATTTTCATCTCTTTTTTTTTGAATTCCCAAGTAAGGGAAATTTCAACCATTTTGAATGGCTTGGACTTTTGACTATTCTGTATCTTTCTCAAACACAACTTCATTAATAATTATTGAAACCCTGATTCATCCATCGGATAGATCCCAATAGCTCTGGACATGGCTAAGGACAGCAATGGCAAGGACCGTGAGCTGAAAAAGAGGATTGAGGCAGACAATTATATGTCTTGTGCTGTTCGTGAGTGCTATGCTTCATTTGGAAACATCATTAAGTTTTTGGTTCGAGGTGATCGAGAAAAGGAGTAAGTTTTTTGCTAAAATCTAATTTCTATTCTTTTTAAGATAAATTTCTAGCATCTATTTTCATCAAATGAGATATATATATAATGTTCTTTCTCTATTTTCTTGTGGTAGAGAAAAATTCGATTTTTGGGCCGCCTCTCCTTTGCTAATGCTCTCTCTCCCTCCCTCATCCCTCTCTCTGGATTACCCTAATTCCTCTTATGTTTTTTTTTCAGGGTTATAGAGTATATATTTTCCAAAGTTGACAGGCATATCGAAGCAGGCAATCTGATAATTGAATACAAAATGAGTGCACTTCCTAGCCTCTATGACCAGTTTGTTGAGCTTATTAAATACTTAGTAAGTTAATTGAAGCATAGTAATAGCACGTTACAGTTCAATTTCTGTCCCTGTTGCTACAGAAATATAGAGTCTCCTAACTGAACATGTTGCACTTCTGCAGTTGGAGAATAAGCAGGAGGATAGGGATCAGGTTGTGATTCTTTTTCAGGATATGCTAGAAGTTGTGACAAGAGACATAATGATGGAGGATCATATATCCAGGTAAATCTTTTTCATGTGTTTTTAATCTGTATTTATGTTTGGATTCCATGGCAGTGTTAAAATTATTGTGATTTCAATAGTTTGGTGGATTCAATCCATGGGGGATCAGGGCATGAGGGAATGACTCCCCTGGATCAGCAATACCAGTTATTTGCATCAGCTGGAGCAATCAAGTTTCCAACACCAGAATCAGAAGCTTGGAAAGAGAAGGTAGTTAATAATTGGTGGAGAAATATCTGGTGAGAATGTTAATATTCAAGTGCTACCTTTCGATTTTTCTTGAACCTCTTCCTTTTGGCAGATCAAACGGCTGTATCTATTGCTTACAGTAAAGGAGTCCGCAATGGACGTGCCATCAAACTTGGAAGCTAGAAGGCGCATATCCTTCTTCTCTAATTCATTGTTTATGGACATGCCTTCGGCACCCAAAGTTCGCAATATGCTCTCTTTTTCGTAAGTTAAAGTTCTTTTTGCTACCGACCTTACATATTCCCCATTTTGCATGGCATTGATATTAGTAACTCACTCGGGATCTTTTGAGCTATTTCCTTATGGCAATATAGGTCTTGATTTATTTTCTATGTTTTGGTTTTAAAGGCCAACATCTTTCAAGGTATTACTATTTTAACCTAGATGATTGACTTTTACCTCCAAGCTAATGGCTCTGTGTTCCACAAACTTTGGAGGACCTATGGCACTAACGTGATGCTTCTTTCTTTCTTTGGTATCTGATTCACTTCACATCCTTTTCAAATAAAATAGGCCACTATTCTTGGCCATTCTAGCACCTAAGTTGGCGAGCACATGTTTGCCATGTTTCAACTGGACTCAATCGGTTGGGTTCTTTCATTTGAGGAAATTGCAAAGATTTTGGGTTCTTATGCTTTGCTTCTTTTTGCACGTAGCCATGGTTGTTAGTATCTTATGATACACAATATGATACATACGATACACACTAAAACGATATGTATCTCATAAGTGCATCTTTTTATAATGTATCATATAATACGCGATACATATCATATGATAAAATTCTATACACGATATGTTGTGAAACGTGTCATATAGGTTTTAAAAGGAGAAAGTAGCACAAAAGTAAAGAGATTTAAATGTCCTTCATGGTTTTTATACATTTTTAATTGCTCGACTCCTTCAATCATTTTAATATTTATATAATTTATATTGTCTCTTTGTGAGTCTAAAAATATTTTTGAAGGAGGAAAGTTAAAGGAAATCTAGTAATTGAAAATGGCGAGGATGAAGACATAAAAGAAGTTAAAAAAATAAAGGAAATGAAAACTTGTTGGCATCTGATAAGAGGATATGATGCCATTGAAGATTAAGATGAAAATGAGATTAACTGGATTATGTTAAGAGTTCTTATTTTTATATTATTAGTAGTGCGGGGTAATGATGTAATTACTCATAATGTCCGTTTATTATAGATAAAAGAGTATAAGACAATATAGCTTACATAACAATTATTCCTCTCATTGTCCTCTTTTTCTTCTTCCTCTTTTGGAATATTTTAACTTGGTATTAGATCAATATCTTTACAGAAAATTATAAAGAAAAGGAGAAAAATCAAACCCTACTGTAAAACCCCGACACATTTTCAGAATAATATTCGGAGCACTAATAGCCTTCATAATACTAAATGATACAATTTTCAAATAATGAATAACCTCTAATTTCATACACATTTCAACCATGTACATCCAGACTATTATAATTTACACGTCTCAGATGTAATAATACACTATTTAGTTATAACTCCTTACTACAAAAAATAATACAACTCGATGTTTATAACGTAACACATGTTTAGCTCTTCGATAATAACCAATGAAAAATCTGCAGTTTGAACAATCACGAACTTCTTCGTTATCTGGTAATCTGAAAATAGAGAAATATTGTAGGGTGAACATCAACAACTCAGTAGAGTAACTCAATATAATCAGTAAAATGATTACTCCTCCTTTTGATCTAGTTGTCGGATCGACTTGAAATTTTATTGGACCTTCGCACGGACATTGCAGAACTTTAGGCACTGACCAGATCGGACATTGGACGCGCCTTCACACGCTGTCGAGGTCCATTGGTATACCTCCCCCACTTCATCTTCTTCCTTTGGTCATTTTCACCAAAATCCTAGGTTCTTCATTTCAGCTCCAACTATCCCACTCCTCTCCCCTGTTTCTCAATCCACAGTACACCATTTGCTCTAGTTTCTGAACCCAAACACTCACCACATATCCCTTTGTGGAACCCCATAGGTGAGACACCTCGAATTAACCTCTATCCTATCTAAATTTTGAACCAAATTTGGAGAAAAGTAAGGTTTTCTAAACATGGCCAGACCTGCAACGGCCCTTTTCACCCACCAAACGAACACTAAACTCACTTTTTAGGCCACCAATGGATTTCTAAGGTCCAAATTAGCTAGGAAACCCCCCCCCCCCCCCCCCCCTTTCTAAGTTTAGTTAAGGATTTACAAAGATCAAATTTTTACTTCTTCAAACCCTCACACCCCCATTCCACCACCACACTATACGACGAACCTTCTTACCACCATCGATCGCTTACAAATCCACCCAAGAATACAACCATCACAATCAATTATCTTGGAACATGTAGAAAACTAAAACCCATTTCATCAAACCCTTAAACCCGAAACTTTAAACATTAAATTCATGCAACTATAGCTAACCAAATAAAAAACTAATAACATAAATGAATTCCTAGCATCCTAATTAAACAAGAAGTATACCTTAAATCGTTTGAACACCCCTCTATGGAAAACTCGAAATTCAAGTTTAATATTTTCTCTTCTCTACACTTCTCTTTTCTCTCTCTTCCACAATTTTCCTAGGCTTCTAACCATCTTGCACTACTGACTAACCCCCCAAGCACCATGGTGGAAGACATGCAGCTGTGGAGAGCCTTCCAGCCAAAACCTTGACACACTAGAAAGGTAGAGATACTTCCAAGGGTGTTTTGGTAATTTCACCTTTTTGGCCAAATTTCAAAAATTAATTAAAAATATTAGTTTTATTTTAAAATTACTTACATATTAAATCAAGCACTAAAAAATTATCGACTAAATTTTTGGATTTCGAATTGACCCTCAATTTGAACCGGAAACTACATTCCCACACCCCTAACTACCTCGATTATTCACCCCAACTCGTTTTCTCTCCACCAATAATGTTCCTATCCGCAATTAACATCCTAATCCTTATCAGAACACCTACACACACTTCTGTCAAATTTTCATATTTTACACCTATAGCCTGTGATACAATTTGATGCAATTGCCAAAAAGTGACGTCATCCCCGGAAAATAACGTCATCGCCAGAAAATGGCGTCATGCTGATCTCAACATTTTTGGCGATTGAACCATACAACTAGGATCGATGTCTGTGATGCTCATGGTGATTTTTCCAAATTTTTTTGAGGCACTCTGGATTGACTTTTTAATTTTTGAATGATTTTTGGATTTTTCGACCCTAGTTCTTTGATCTGCTTCAAGGGAGCAATATGCTGTGTTTTGATGGATCTTTTGGCACCAGATAGGTTCAACTAAGACTACAGGGGGTGTTTGTGAGTGACCCACCTTGATTTGAGTGGTTTTATTTGATTTTTGAGCTTCAACAGTGGTTCGGCATCACTAGTTGTGCCTGGTTTTGATGTTGAGCTATTGGGTATTGCTTCAAATGTCTCTCCCTCAAGGTGCGACTAGGCTCTGGAATGTTTAATCTCTGGTACCCATTAGTTTTTTTGATTCATTTTGAGTCTCTTATTGCTTGAAAAAGGAGTTGGCAGCCACTGTTTTTGGTCAGTTCGTGTCGCTGGTCACTGTTCCGACATGCCGGTGTTGGTGGTCGTGGTTATTGTTATGTGTGGAAGTGAACTTATTGAGGTAGCACAAAACATATTGAATATTATTGTTGGAATGAGTATAGGATCCCAGATTCCCAACACATGCCAATTAGGCTACTGGTGGTACTTTGGATCCTAGCACATGCCAATCAAAAAGTAAGTGTTGAGCTAGAACCAACTAAGAAAAGAGGTGAACCGAAATAAACCAGGATGAACCCGAAGGGTTAAAGCTTGAATGGAAGTACCTCAGGCTTGAATCTGTTTGAGCTGAACCGGCATTGGAGTTGGGTTGGGCTAATTTTGGTACACTGTTGGGCCTGGACCTGGGATGGAATCAGAGTCAGTCCATTGCAGATTGAGTCCACTGGTTGAGCCCACTATAGAAATTGGGATCTACTAGTATGGGCTAAACTTGTTGGGTTTAATTTAGTAACCAAAAAAAAAGCTTGGATTCTCATAACTGACCTTCGCACACCCAATCAACAACGCCTCCGGCAAGAGCAAGGCAACCACCACACGGTTTGCACGACATGGACACAGACAACCGTCTAAATCACCCAAATGCAAATCACCCACAAACAACCAGCACAAATCAAAATCCAGATGACGATCAAGGCTCGATTGCAATCAATCGTGAACCACTTTGCAACAATGATACACACAGCAATACTCCACTTTGTTGGAAATGAACATGACTAAGGCTTGGGAAACCTAGTGCCCTAACATTAACAACTCAATAGATCTTTGAATTAAAAAAAACCCCTCACACCGATGCAATTTCTGTTTAAACGAACAGCAGTAGAAAGAAATAAAAAAAAGAAGGAAGAAAACACAAAAAGGCTAGTATACCCTTAGAGAGGTATACTTATTACAACCATATTAAACGATAACAATATAATAATAATACACTCAACAAGGAGAAAGAGGGAAGAGAAAGAAAAAAAAGAACTAGTGAAATAAGATTGTGGGTAGGATGTGTATGCCCAATCACCTATTAATATTAGTTTATTTTTGTTAGAGTAATGTAGTATATTAGTATTAGGGAGAATTTAGTTGTTTATGTTCCCCTACTGTAGATGGGCGTCTATTGTGTTTCTTATGCTAAGATGCTGCAAAACTTGATGTGATATAATAATATTCTTTCGTTTCTTCTATGTTCTCTCTCTTCATTCTTGTCTCTATGATCAACGTTATCATGGTATCAGTGCATGTTACGATCCCTAGTACAAAAAATAAATCTTAGAAGCTTGCAGAAAAAAAAATTCCGAGGAACAATAGGGTTGATGTCATCATGATGCCATCAATCCATAGCAGGTGACACAACCTTTCCACTCATAATCTCATGGGCTTCTCAATGGTATACTTGGATTTCGATTTTGTCGCCATCTGGTATGTCTTTTTATTTTTTGAAGATTTTTGGTCAAAACTCTTGGATCTGAATTTCCGAAGGTTTCTTTGAATTTGATGGTCAAGATCCTGCTTAAAGGACTCGATTTAGACCTATTTTGATTTAATAGCAGATTTGATGAATTTAGAGGGGATCTGGTTAGTATTTCAGTTGATAATGGGTCTCG